CACCGCCTCCTCCTGCTCCTGCTCCTTCTGCTGCCGCTGCAGGTGCGTGCGGGGCCGGCCGGGCGGGCGCGGGCTCGTTGCGGCCCCGGGGTCTGACCCTGCTCCCCTCCTCTCCTCTCCCCTCCTCTCCTAGGCGGCGCCCGGCTCTGCACAGACTACCTGCGAGGCCCCTGAGCAGTAAGTACCGGCCGCCGAGAGCGCCTCTGTCCTTGTCTCCCTGGGATGCAAGATCCTCCCTTTGGGAAGCCTTTTTGGAGAGCTGCCTGGGGCAATGAGCACCATCTCCGGCAGCTTCAGGCTTGATGCTGCTTTGATTTGCTTCAGCCTGTGTATGCTGATGGTCTCGGTGCATGTGCCGGTGGTGCTGGAGGGGTAAAGGCCTTGGCTCTGCAGCTGAGTGCGCGTGGCTTGCCCAGGTGCATCCGTGTGTCTTCTCCTCTGCCAGCCTGCTGCTGAATTGAGGGAGAGTTTCGCACCGTGGACGGTTCAGAGTAAAGCGTCTCTTGCGCAAAGATGCTATCAAAAGCACCTGAGCAGGAGGAAGGAAGCTGCCTCAGGCTGGGACTTTCAAATGGACCAAAGTTATGTGTCCACCTTCCACCGAGTTCAAATGCCTGACTCTCGGTGGCCCTTGGCAAAGCCCAGCCTGTCGACGCTTCTCTCTCCAGGAGTCGGGAGGTGCTGTTTTGGCCTTTTGAATGCATAAACTCTGCAGGCCTTTACGCTTTCCAGTCCCACCGTCACTTTGGGTTTTTGCTTCGTTTTAGCATTACCCTAAGTTCCCTTTGGGTTAATTGTCTTAAGCTGCTGATTTGGCTTCCCTTCTTCACTTTGCAATTAGTGTAAAGTTTATTTTTTGTCACCAAATGTAATGTCTGAATGTAAGGATTGAAATTAGTCATTGATCTACCTTTGTTTGTAGGTGCACTCAGAATATGTCTAGCTGGACTAGCCTGTGGTATGTCTGGTAAGTTCACGTCTCTCTTATCTAATGTGGAATAGAATCGGAAGAAGTTGTGGCAAACAATATCCATAGGAAGAGACAAATTTATCATATTGTGGCTTATAGTGGAGGACTTAGGTGAATGAAGGCTGCCAGTGGAGTACCTCTCAGACAAGCTAGACCATAGAGGAGGTCAGATGCATGGGACACAATCCCTGAAGTGCCTCGCTTCCAACCTCCAGCATGTGAAATAGGTGGTTCCCCACCTTTTCAGACTTGAGACACTCCTTGGAAAATGTCAGCGCTCAGTTTTCACTTAATTTTTGGCCACAGAAAAATAATAGAACAATGCTTCTCTCACAAAGAGCTTAGGAAGACCAGAACAGGTCAGAAATGGTTTTTAACTTTATGGATTCCTATCTAAAATCTCTGGGATTATCTTGTAAATCATGGTTGCGCACCTAACAGTGCTAACATTGCATGGTCCCCCAAAAAGGATCACAAGGAGGGACTCTGGTTGAGAATCACTGTTAAAATCTAAAGCCTTCATGTACAGATAACCTTGTTAAAGAAATTTGCAGCCCAGTGCGAGTTGGGCTTGGCATTGCATCATATAATGTTTCTCCTTCATATCTCTCCCTTTTATGGGAGGGAAAATTGTTGCATTACGATGTTCTTTCTTTCAAGGATTGCTGAACTCCTGCTCATTTACAAACTGGTGACCTTGTTTATTGGCTGGTGATTTTATAAAGGAGAAAAAACGAATAGAAAGACAAACATGGTTTTTATAGAGTTGGTTCACTCCTCCAGAATGTGTGCTACAATTAACCTGGCTTAAAGTTTAATATGTATTTGATTGGATGCATATATGCTGAATTTCCTGGGGGATATAGTGCATGTGAGCCAATATTAACAACTTTATCAATGGGACTAAACTAATCTAGGCTTTTAGCCAGGATGGGGGGGGATGCTGATCTGCAGAATTGTTTAAAAAATGACTTGGCATTTTAAGATTGACTTGACCACTGCTGTAATTTGGCTGACGCTTGCAAGCAGTGACACTCAAGTTCCAGTGAAACTGGCACTGCAGATTTGCACCACTGGAATACAGCATCTCTTCTCTCCATCAGAGGTCCCTCTTAGCATGCCTAGACATGAATGCTTTGCTAAGAGTGTATCCTCATTCAGTTTGGGGAGTGCTAGGAGATTCTGATTGGCTGGTGATGAGGTAATACTCTTCTCTCACTGGTAGAATGTTTCATTGTGAAATTCTACCAAGGCAGGGTGTTCACTTCACAAAAAATGACTCTAAATTAGCCTAAAAAGGCTTTTCTAAAGTAGCAATTTGATAAGGCTATAGCTGGAAGGTAGGAAAGTGTCCTTCAAACTACTTGAGATAAGGAAGCGGCTACATGCATTGGTTTTCTATAGCATATTAAATACTGTGGCATGGAAATGGGGCAACTATCATGAAACTGAGGCCCCCACATTGCAGACCTGATGGGTGACTAGTGTGCATTAAGAGAGCTGAAAGGTTCTCTTGTTAAAATTCAGTGAAAATAGGTTGTTTAAACATGCCCTGTATTATACTGTAGGTTACTTTTTGCCATTTAGACTTTAATAATCTGGGAGTGCAAAGAAGGAATTATTTTGGAGGTCTGATTTTTAACCTGCTAACATTCTTTAATCGGAAAAAGGATAGAGCTATACTGAGGTCTCTTCTGATCTGGGTATTTAATTTTGTACAGTGAGAGAATGCTGTTGTGTCTTCAAAATGGAGAAGTCTGGTGTATGAACTGTTTAGCAACTCCCACCAAAGTATGCTGAGCATATTTAATCTTGGACCTTGGGCTTTTTCTTTACAACGTTCATAGGCATTTATCATCACCCACCCTTTTCATAGCATGCCTCATTGTTTCATAGCTAATGCAAACAGTTGATTCAAGATGAGTTTCAAGAGTAGAAAGAACTCCAGAACTAACATTTGAGAGTGGGACTAGAAATGTTAAAAATTTGGTTTCAATATATTGGATAAAACTGGCCCCTTGGCAAGAGGTATAGCCCAAGCCCTAGTTTGAGGACTTAAATGGTTCATAGGTCTGGTTCCAGTCACTTCCAGAGGTGAATTATTTGAATGGTGGTGATGAGGAAAGCAGCATGTATGAATCCCAAACTTGTACATTGTCTTATTCTCAGTGTTGGGAGAATATTGGACTTTGCTTCTTCCACACAAAAGCTAAGATTTCATACTGGTTCAGCATTCTCCCTCTTATTGAATGCCTGGTGATACTCCAGGTGCCTTTATTGAGTTAAATCGTAGGCAGTATGTAGAACTGCTAGAGATGTCCCTTATTGCATTTCCTAAATAAAGGTCCAAACTGTAGAAGGATTTATGCTCCTGCTTTTCTTTAAGCATATAACCAGTCTTACTGAATTCAGGGGAGCCATGCTCACTTTGCATTCACTGAAAATCTGGCCAGGGACTTCTGATCTGCCTGAGCTAGGGAGGGTTTAAGTAGCGATTAGCAACACCTAATCATCCCAAGCCTTAAGTTGACTGTTTTGCGATTGCGTTTCCTAACTCTGTATTTGGGTGGCATGTACCCAAATACAGGAGTCAGCACCCCTTGGAACTGATTCTTGTGAAATTCAGCCAGGCCTTTCAAAGGGCATCCCAAATAGTTAAATTTCTTCCATATGTGGAAGAAAGAAAGCATCAGTAATAAAGGGATGGTTTCCCTTCTCTCTACCTCTCCTAGGCTGATCCTGCTGACTGTGTTCATGCTTCTGCTATGTGGTATCACAGCAAGCTGCGTGAAGATTTGCTGCCGGAAAAAGAGGCCCCCAGTTCAGGCCTTCCCTAGGCGCCCCTACGACCTGACAGTCATCACTATTGACAACGACAGCACTGCCCACAGCACCGTTACCTGTGAGTGTTTTGCAGCAACTAATCAATTGGTGTTTAACTCTTCAGATGCTACATAGGGCATTCCCACTTCCGATTCTTCATATCTTCAAAGCAAAATGTTCACTCATTCTCGACACCGTAGCTACTTGTGATGCTAACATACACACTCATTCCAGTATGTTATTCTTGGGTGGGTGGAATGGAAATCTTGGGCACAGAGGGTGAAATGACTTCCACAAAGCAGCACAAACACGGTGATCTCCCTGGGCAGATGACTCCTGGAAAGTCAAACCAACACCAGAGTTCATCTGATCCCGAGTAAGAGGTAGAAGGCAAGAATGACTTCGGTTCTTCAGAGACATTTTTTTTTTTCCTAGTTGCTTTCCTGATGGGGGTGAGCAGGTTCCCTCATGCTAGCTCTTGACTACCAGTGTCAATCATGATGGGTGCAGTAATTTTGTTGTGGGGGAAAAGCAGGATTACATCTTTATGCAGAATCCTATTCTACTCAATGTCTAAGTCCTCTGGTGTTTTCTTTTTCAGCATACAGTTCCTTGCAGTACCCCCAGAGCACCTCACTTCCCCTTCCCTTTGGGGAGATGGATAGGAGCACTATGTCTCCTCCAGCCTACAGCCTTTATGCTATGGAGCTGCCACCCTCTTATGATGAGGCCATCAAAATGGGCAAGCCCTACACAGAGACAGTGCTGGTGGGCCAGAAACCAAGCGACTTCCCAGAGCAGGGGACACCTGAAGAACCAAATCAGCACCAGGGTTCATCTGATCCAGTACCTGGCAATCCAGAGACACAGCCAAGTTCAGACGACCCACAAGTTGCAACAGAATAACCTCAGTTCTAGCCCATTAAGGGGTGGGAGACTGAGTGGCGCAGGGACCTTGAGAAGTACTGAGGACACAAAGTTTGGTTTTCTATACAGGTTACCATGGAAGGATGCCCAACTTCAAGTCCTTGCAATGATCCGTCATAGGAGAGGAATGTTTCCTATGACTGCAGTAACCTTCTGTTAATGCTTCAAGGGTATCGCATGAAATAGGAGGAGGGCAGTTTAAAAATATTTCCTATGGGTGAGACATGGACACTAGTTTGTCTCTCCCTGTGAAAAATGATGCCCTGTGCTCATGGGAATAAAAAGGGCAGTGGCTTGCTACTGCTCTAGCAAAACCTTTATTAGATGCCAGAGTGGCACAAGTGGTGGATCATTTTTCCCAGATGGAAGTTTCCCAAACCTGAGTAGAAGTGGAGGCTAAAGCGCAGACTTTCTACAGCTTGTCTTTTCTTTTGAGAAGGTTAACTGTCCAGCAAATTGCTGAATTGCTGAACTCGTTGCTACGTAACGGCAAATGTTCCTTTAAACTGAAGGAAAACGGCATTCAAGGACCCAACCATTGTGTATGGATTGAAATGCAATATGTTATGTTTCATGATATCAGGGGCTGGGTGGGGGGCAGGGAAAAGATTTCTCAATTTTCTAGAGTCCTGAATCCTTTAAAAATGCTTCATTTTCAGAATGAAGTGATGTTTGTGCTATTCTTCCTGTTGGTTGTGCCAGTTACAGTGCAAATTGGCTTCATGGAGTAACTTTTACATGTGACTTGGAATACTTTAACTATATCAATACCTTCTTTTTGCTGACTGAACCCAATGGGTTTGAAAACTCATATTTTGGTAAATGTTTAATGCCCTGTCAGCACAGTAGTGTAAATTTCAGAAAGTAAAATTTTTAAACAGCAATGCTTGATCTTTATCATGGGTTTTTACTTTATATTTTATAGTTATTTTTCTTAAATAATAATAAAATTTTTAACCTTTTCAAACCAATCACTTGCTATGGTGAGATCCAAGTAATTTAAGTTAAGGAATGTAAAGAAAAATGTGATATGAATCTCTTTGGGATTCAGAGTGACCTAGACAAATTGGAGGATTGGGCCAAAAGAAATCTTACAAAGTTCAACAAAGACACGTGCAACATCCTGCGCTTAGGATGGAAGAATCCCATGCACCTCTGCAGCCTGGAGACTGGCTTGCTAAGCAGCAGCTCTGCAAAAAAGGACCTGGGGGTTACAGTAGTCAAGAAGATGGATATGAGTCAGCAGTTTGCCCATGTTGCCAAGAAGGCTAATGGCATACTGGGCTGCATTAGTAGGAGCATTGCCAGCACATTGAGGGAAGAGATTCTTTTGCTGTATTCTGCACTGGTGAGGCCACATCTGGAGTACTGTGTTCAGTTTTTGGACCCAAAAGACATGGACAAATTGGAGAGAGTCCAGAGGAGGGCAGTGAAAATGGTTCTGGAGCTGGGGCACATGACTTGTGAGGAAAGACTGAGGGAACTGGGCTTATTTAGCCTGGAGAAGAGAAGATTGAGAGGGGATTTAATAGCAGCCTTCAACTCCCTGAAGAGTGGTTCCAAAGAGAATGGAGCTGGACTGTTCTCAGTGGTGACAGATAACAGAAAAAGGAGCAATGGTCTCAATTTGCAGCAAGGGAGGTCTAAGTTGGATATTGGGGGGAAAAAATTCTCACTAGGAAGGTGGTGAAGCACTAGAACAGGTTACCTAGAGAGGTGATGGAATCTCCATTCTTGGAAGCTTTCAAGACGCAGCTTGGCAAAGCCCTGGCTGGGATGATCTAGTTGGGGCTGGTCCTGCTTTGAGCAGGTGGTTGGACTAGATGAATACCTGAGGGTCCCTCCAACCCTCACTTTCTATGATTCTGAGATGTGAGAAGCATAGAATAATAAAGAGGATTCTTTCACAGTCTCTAGCTATTCCTAGAGTGGATTATGGGATTCTAAACTAAGTTTTTCTGTATGTATAAACCTGCCTCCAGATAAAACTTTCTAAAACCCTAGTCCTGTGAAGTTGATCAAACTTTGATAATATCACTTTTTCTGATGTCAGCATGCAATTTTGTTCAGATTTTTTTACTGCAATTATTGGAAGGAAAACTGAGTATTGAGATCCAGGGTAATGTGGACTTCAGAAGTAGAAGAAAACAGGATGGGAAAGAAGCTAGGGCTGCAGTCAGCTGTACTGGACAAAAATTGTAATTGATGAGGCGTACTGCTGGTATCCAGTTACCCAGCTTTACGCATGTACACCAGGGGTCAGCAATGTTTTTGGCTAGAGTGCTGAAACACCTCAACCCTGACCCATGTCTCCGATTGGCATGCCAAGGGTAGGCTATGGAGGAGCTGTGAGGGGCCCGATCCCCACTGCTGGCAACAGGTGTATGCACACCTCTGGGCTGGGGTTGTGCTGCCTTGGCCCCTTCCCTGCCCTGCACCCCAAGGTACATGCACAGAGCTGCTGTTTGAAGCCTGCCAGTCACCTGCTGCAGCTGCCCAGAGCATGGTCTGGCTGTGGCAGGCAGCTGGGAGGCTACAAACAGCTGCACTGGGCTCCAGAGCCCCAGTGAGGCTGCCTGCTGGTGGTGGGTGCACACATGTCTCTGGGTGGATGGCAGGGGAAGGGCCTGGGGCAGCGCAACCCTGGCCCCTCCCCTGCTGTCTGCCCAGAGGTGCGTGTGCAGCCACCATGGAACCCAGCTAAGGATTTTGGAGCCTGGTGGAGCAGTTTGCAGCCTCCTGGCTGCCTGCCACACACAGCCCTGGCTCTGGGCATCTGGAACAGGCTGCAAACAGCTGCACCAGGCTCAAGCACCAGCTTCGTGGTGGTGGCAGCTGCATGCGCACCTCCAGGCAGGTGGTGGGGGAGGGGCCAGGGTTGCCCTCTTTCCCCTCCCCTCCCTGCCTTGTGTACCATGCTCTGGCACGCAAGCCAGGGGTTGCTGACACCTGATCTACGCACACTTATTGGAGTGCTGAAGCCTTACACACTAAGCAATTGAACTGTTAGTGCACAAGAGCAGAAGTAAAGAGAAGGGGAAGGCAAACAAGTCCCAAAGTAAAAGGCTCAATTATAATGTCTGTAGCAAATAAAAATGTTTACTGCCAAGGTGAATAACCGGTGGAAGATTCAGTGTCAGAAGAAAGAATTTCGAGTGGGAAACATTCCTGGTTACTGTAAGAATAAGCCAATGGTCTATGAGGGTTAATCGTGGACTTTACTCTGTTTATCAGCACTCAGGTGCCTGGTATAGAAGGAAGCGGCTCTGATTTTAATCAGTTACAAGGACTTGGCTTTGGAATGCAGGTGGCTGTTGACATTTCCTTTTCTTCCCTTTTGCTTTCCCAACAACCTTCCCCTGATTGCAGCCTTCAGCTTTTATCAGCAGGGGGTGGGCTTTGCAGGTGGGGTTCAGATGGGGCTGTAATGCCTAGTGTAATGAATCCCAGACAGTCACAGTATCTTCCAACTTGAACTAAGAGGTGGTGACTGATGAGGCATCACAGCAGGGGAGGTGGAGAGACTCTTGCCTTTCCCAATCCCATTCTTTTTTTTTAAGAAAGGCTTCTTATGATCTAGTTTCTAGAGGCAGCAGCATGACTGGTCTCTGTTGTATTTCATATTTACACTCCTGTGACTGACTCATTCATCTGTAGTTTCAAGTAAAAGGGAGGAGAGGGAGTGTTTGTGTGAATGGGTGTTTTCTGAGGTCAGCTGCTCTGACAAAAGGCACTGAAACTATGTGGCTAAGTCCCATGGCTATTTCCTTTCTTTTTACTTTAAGCCCTCCTAGCTCTGTTCTTCTCAATTATGACATTATTTTAAGCCCCTTAATTGATGCAGCTAATAACTACACCACAGCTGTACCACAATCAGCAAAGAAATACAGAGCTGGGGTCAGAAGAGGCGGCTTTAAGCCACATATGCTCAAGGCTGGGACTTCTGCACCAAGTCTTTGCTGGCAAGGGTTTTTTTTTTTTCTTCTTTTAGTTCCATTTCTTTTGGATTTTCTCCACATTGCAGAAAGGTCGAGTATCTTCCCCTGCCCTGGCAGTGAAATGAGAGGAGCCTTTGAGACTACACTGGGTGAACAAAGAAGAAATTCAGAACTAAGCAAAACCATCAGCATCCACTGCAATAACTGAAATCTGGCTCCTAACAAGGACAGGTTGTTTTGCAGAAAACTCCTCTCTTGCCACCCTCTAATGGTAATGGATAGGGACCTACCGAATTCATGGTGGAAAAGGGGCATGCTGCAATTCCTTTAATCTTGCATGTTCCTACACATGCCACGGCATGCTGCAATTCCTTTAATCTTGCATGTGCCTACACATGCCCCCCTGCCGCTGATTGCTGGAGGGACCTCCCTTGCAGCGCAGTGAGAGCTCACCTGATCAGTGGGGAGATGAAAACTGCAGTTTTAAATATGGCACTATTTTTACCTCCTGCCACTGATCAGCTGTGGGGCCCTGGTGGCCCTGCTGCTTGCTGCTGACCGGTGCGGGGGAACAAAATCATCGCCATGTTTAAAACTGCGGTTTTTGCTTCCCTGTCAGTCACCAGGGAGTGGCAAGGCCCCTCTGCCAGTCAGCGGCAGTGCAGGGGGCACATGGGGGGAACATGCAAGGTTAAAGGAGCCACTGCACATCCCACTTCCACCATGAATTGGTAAATCCCTAGTAATGGATGAATGATGCATGCTAAAGAGCTGGTATCCTTCAGTTCTTCAGTTTCTATTAGCTTCTAGAGTTTTGGGGTTTCAGTACTTCTGCCAACCTGGATCTTAGCCTTGGGGGATGATAATTAGGCCCATGTGAAGCAGCTAGTATTTGCTTTGGATTCGGATTCAGCCAATTCGGGGGACAGTGATTCGATTATTCGAATCCCTGTCCTGATTCAATTTGGCCAAATCTGATTTGGAGATTGGGCTGCGGCAGGCCCATCGCCCGCCTGCTCCCCCAGCCCAGCAATGGCTGTCCTGCCTGCCCCAGCTCCCAGCTCTTTAGGAAAACAAGCCCAAACTTAGCGGGTGCTGCCAGGCGGGGGGCCATCCCCATTTCCCCCCACTGCCACACACTGCATGAGGGGCTCTGCATGAGCTCCCCCAACCCCACTCCCCCAGACCTCCCACAGGTGCCCTGCTGGGGCCAGCTTTGGCCCTTTAAGGGGGGGAAAAAAACCTGAGGAAACCCCTGCACTCACCATTGCTCTGCGGGGACCCCTGAAGCCCCAAAGCCGCTGCAAGAGCCTGAGTCCTGGGGTTTTTTTTTTTTTTTTTTTTCCTTAAAGGGCGAGAGCTGGCCCGGGCAGGGCACCCGTGCGGGGGTGTCACGGGGCTCGTGCAGAGCTTCCCATGCAATGTGGGGCAGTGGCGGCCAGCAGGGATCGTTCCCCCTGCCTGGCAGCACCTGGTGAGCAACAGGGGTTGGTTTTTTTTAAGTACTGAGCTGAGGCTGGGGAAGTGGGGGGGTCCCCTGGGGGGGTCCCCCCCCCATGGTCCCTTGCCCCTACTTACCAGCTTGGGGTCAGCTGCAGCTCCCTGCTGCAGCCACTGGGGACTGCCAAAATCATCGAAGCTCTCCAAATCTTTTCTGAAGATTTGGAGAGCTTTGAATCAATTTGGACCTTTAAATTGGTCCCGCTTCGATTCGGATTCAGAGGTTCAGCCACCGAATCAGGCCGAATCTCCTCCAAATCGAATCACCACCCGAAGCTTTGTACAGCCCTAATGATATTGAGAAGCTTTTCAGAATATGAAACATTTTTCCTCCTTACTGCAGTGATGTGTGATAGTTTGCAAAGCAAACTTCTCACAGACAGGGTGAGAACTCATTTGTTTGATTCCAGACCAAATGAAAACTTAGTGACTCAGTTAAGTCTGCTGGGAAAGTTTGTT